GAACTAACTCATGTCTTTATCTGTTTATGTAATCACAACGCGCGGTCACCTCCTACCACATAGAATAATTATTTGAAACATCTTTTCAAAGCTCCATTATCAGTATATACAGAAACATCATTGATATTCAAACATTGACAGGGATTTCTTTGAAGTTTAATACCGGAAGAGTACGGAGTGAAAACAGACTCATAATTCCTGTATTTGGATCATCACATCGTGCAGTAAAAAGAGAATGGGGTGAACATAGACACATATTTCCTGTATTTAGAACGCTGCTTCATGGAACACGCCAGTGTCTATCCGATAACAAGGTCATGCGTATCACTAGACTAGCTATCATGAAATGCCTGCTTGATGATTTGCACTAGAACGCAAATCAATGAAAGCCTTGTGGATGTAAGGATTAGGACATCATAGACTTACGGATAAGATTTGCTATAAGAAAGTGACAAGCTTAAGTATCCCAGCATCCCTATTATATCCCCTGACTAACGAGTCGCACCTACTTCAAAGCAACCTGGCAGCAATTCGACAATCTTATATTAGCATGTCGTAAAACATCGAGAAATTCGAATCATCAAACAAACTTACAGACCTTTATAAAGATGCCAAAAGTATAAGCCTTTTTTTCATATATCGCTATCAAGAAATGTTCAAATAAATATCTGTTATTTTTATTATCAGCATAAAGACATTTTGAAACCGTTATGTACTTACAGTATTAGCTAGCATGGAGACAGGTAATTCATGGATGGTGGAAGTTCTCTCGTCTCCAGTAGAATCCAGTAAGTTATAGCGTTCCAGATTAAATGAAATAAGGCAAGAGTGTAAAATATTGTCTAGCAAATGCACACAACTGAGTAACTCGATTTGAAATTTGAAACAAGTACAAAACGATTAATCATCTTCAGTATAGCCTAGTATAATATGCATTCCAATAAAAACAGATGCATGCCTTATAGCATAATATAAGGTCGACGGGGTATTCCAGAGGCGTATTTATATATCATTTGCAATGCCTAGACGATGCTCACTGAAACAAACTCTTCATTTTGGATTTAACTGAATTAAGTTTGTTGGCTGACCTGTATATTCTGAGATGAATGGGTTTTTAGCGAGTTCATGGTCACAGGTACTAAATATGCGAGACTTTACTTTTTGATTTCCCACAGTCGTCATATACGCTTTAAACTATTTTATCGGCAACATATTTTCAGTTTTGTTTAGGCCGATAAGAAAAATTATTAAACTTTCTGGACTTTCGCAGAGCGATTTCAAAAAAATATATATTTGAAACAATTTAAATCATGATTGAGATAACATAAACGACATCTCTGTCTCAGGCTTGTGGCTTCAATTATTTCACCAATTTGTAATATTTTCAAACAAAGACCTGATGTAAGCTATTTAATTTCTCTCCTATCATCAATTTATCAAGTTAAAAAGTTATGGACATATATAACAACAAAACATTGAACTGAGGAACTTTAAAAATGTTGAATAATATTTAAAATGTCATATCTTAACTTTTTAATGCAATTGGAGAAAAAAAACCCGATAAAAGTGCAGTTGTTTGTCAATAAAAAACAAATCATTTATTTCCGATAAAGATATTTATTGCAAAGTAGTTTTGCTGAGTAAAATGCATCTTTAAAAGCTTAAAAACATGTACAAGATAGAAGCAAAGATAGTTCTCTATATCGACGGTATGCTATAGGATAACTCTTATGGAAATCGTTCAGGATCATAAGAAATAATCTTACGTGTTAACACGATTAAATTGCTGTATCAGATTGGAACGTATTCAGAAAAAAATCAATCATGTTAACATAGCGAGATAGTGTAGGCAATGAGAATCATAAAAATTAATAATTGTACAGAACGGGATACAGACAACAATTTTAAGGTCAATATTAAGTAAAGTCAATGGAAATCATGAAAAATAATTAATTGTACAGACAACAATATTTTTATGTTGTACATATAGAATACACGGCTTAGACATATTTGGTCAACTCTCTCAACGTTATACATAAGTTGTATGTAACATGTAACCATTTTCTATTCTTCATTTCCTTTTTTTAATACTTTGTTTAATGAAAAACAAAATAATGAGAAAACTATGACACATGTCTAAACATTTGCATAAGGTAAGAACAAAACAAAGAATATAACAAACAATCATCTCGCATTGCAAACGCTACGTAAAGGTGAATACGGTAGTTCTTTACCAATAACAAAGCTCTCGACAAATATCAATAAAAACAAAGAGATAATAAAAAGGTTACACTGTAGTATGTTTGTGGGTTTTGATATTGTTTAACAATAGTTGACTTTAATATCTAAAACAATTTTCAAAACTTAGATGAATGATGAGGCCCGGGTTAATATTTAAGCTATATATTTACGAATATTTTGATTAAATTATTAAGCTTTTTATTACAGGATGCTTGACATTATTTTCATTTGTCCATCCACAGTCATATGAATTAATGTTAATGAATTATTCCTCTTGAACATTATATTCTCGTGTAAATCTGCACCTGCAGTAACAAAATATTTCTTATTAAATATAAATTATTATAAAAATGATTTAATAAATCACATATTTCTAATTAACATTATTGTCAACTGTCGTTTTAAAGGTATAGTTTTGATAAATTTTGGAAATTTCGGTTTTTTAAGAATTTTGTTGGCCAAAAATTGACTGCCTGCCTTTTGTCTGGTGCTAATGTGTAAAGATCATTGAAAATTTAATGAGATTTTTAATCCGAACTTAATGTGAATCAGGCTTGAAATAATGTGTACATACAGTGTTTCAAAGCCTTTCATTTGTAGTTGTATGGAATCTGATGAAGGCTGTATAAGCGCGATATCCATCAACCTACACCATTAAGACAAAGTTCTATTCACCTGCAGGATGGAATCCGATAAGCAATCATGAAAAATGAAAGTCTTTCTGTGGTGCCCTCTCACATCTGATCAGTTCTAAATAACTAGAATACAGAGAGCTTTTGTGCCCCCGATACAGCTGGTTAAATCTCTTCACAAGCAACAGGACTGATCGTATCTCACCAACACTCATAAGCCTTCGAAGGCATGTACCCTCAGTCTGTTATAAGGACCGCTATTGAAATCAAAGACTAATTAACAGGATTAAAGTTACAAGAAATCGGGTAAAAAATTATCGCTTTATCAAAAAGTATCGTATATTTCTTGGGGTGAGAAAAATGACCTAGGTAATTCAACAGAAGAATAAAGTCCTCACATATTCGTCTTCTCTGATGAATGGAGAATAATAACGCTGCTAAGACGCTGGTAACAGGTACAAAACACTTAACACGTTTGTGCTGCTCTGTTGTGCATACATACGGATCATTTCCCAGATGTATACATGATTGAGTGGTTAACCGTAAAAAGTACATCATTTATACAAATTCCTGGTGACATTTATCACACTATAAAGGTATGTGCAGCTAAGAAAATCATTCTGAATGTGAATCATGACCTTAACTTGATTTTGCGAAGAACTCGTGCAAACAATGACCTTCTGTAAATATATCAATTACCAGTTTTAGGAAACATTTTTCATACTTTTTATTGCATATAAAAGTTAGCCGTTTTGCATGCATGATAAGATAAAGATAAAAACGTTATTTATCACAAGGAATATGTTACCTACATAAACAATATGACTAAAGACTTAACTATATTTTTATACTTCTATTTTTGTCTGATTCGAAGAATTCCAAGAACGTTGTCTTGAACTTGAATAATAAAATGATGAAGTAAGAACACCGCTTATAAACGTATTTATTATTGATGGAATACGTTTTTTTTTCATTTAATGACAAATATTTTGGCTACAAAGACATTCTTGAGAAAATCTTATCAACTCATCAACAGACATTTATTTGAAGAAAAAAATGCATTTATCGCATGCTTCCTTTTGAAGACTATATTAAGTCACTAAATACCATTTCACATAAGAATGTAGAAAGAATTAAATTTCATAAAGTTTTCAGATTATTTTCTTCACTGTAACAGTTTCTTTTTCTTTTTGTTAATTTTCTCCTGATATTTTGTTTCCGAAAGTAGTGCATTTTTCAGAAGTATAAGCCAAAGATGAACACAGGCTGATCCAGCCCCATTCCAACATTGCAATGCTATTGATAGCATAACAAAAAAACCTTAATTTCCGCGGTAGCTCAATTTCGTGGTTTTCCTAAATATACATTTTCTTTTGACAATTGATTTCATGGTTAAACCTTAATCACGAGCTCCGCAAGTTCTGTACTATAATCCATGCCATTTTTTCTTCATTAATTTCGTGGACGTAAGAACTCATGGATTTAGAGTACCCACGCATTGAACGAAAATAAATCCTCAACTAAAATGAATGATTTTACGGTATGGAGTACAGATTTATCTTGCAAATGGACCATATTTTCTATCAAAATACTACTGTTCTGTAGTATAATTGGTTTGATTATCGAGAATGGATGGTGAATGACCGAACTAAATCATAACACATAATGAATAGCTTTATAACAAATGACAGTAATAATTGCTCTTTATGTAATCTACATATGTAAGTAATACAAAGAATATGTTTATTGTATGTGTAAAGTAAATACAAACTCCAAACATGTCAACACATGTAACTGTAATAAGATTTGAACATGATCTAAAATTATCGTATTTATTTTGCAATAAGCCAAGGCCTGATGCAAACATCTCTTACTCAGAGTCAGGGTAGCCTTATTATAGTACAACACAATACAAGTTGTTGTTACAATAAACATGTGTGGGCTTATTTTAAGGCATCGGCTTATGAATAAATATGATGCCTAAAACATTTACAGATGACAGTAAAAATCCTATGGTATATCTGAACACTGTGTAGATTTCAGATAACTTTCTAAAGAGGTAGTGAAAGCAATCATATTTTAATCTACACATACCTAAAACTTTATTACTGTTATAAAACAGGGATAAAGCAAAATTTCAACTTAATAAGAAAATAACAAACAGGTTGATAAGTGATTGGTTTTGGTAGAAGGATAATCACATTCTTACAAAATTTGATGTAAAAATCGTCAAATTAACATCATTTTTCCATAAAATCTGCCTATAAAATAAAGTAATGTATTAAATCTCTGAGTATAATCTACTTTATCTTGAACACTGAATACCGGTACAGGCACGAAATATTCATAATGGTTTTTAAGGATTTCATAAGTGAACTAACTTTCGGTTATACAAAAAATCATGCAGAGAACAAGCCATCAATACAACATGCATTCCAGTTTAATCCATACACTAGCAGCAATATAATGTAGCATTACATATCAGATGATTTTTCTTGTTTGAAACTTTCAGTCCTACACACATAAAAATTCATATCCAAAATTTATCAAATTATTTTAATAACAATGATGATGTACCCCCAACCATCGTATTGGTATTTTAATTTTCGTCCGTTTTGGACTCTTGTATAAACAGCCCGTTACGTGAGGACAAACTAATTGTATGATATCGTTGTAAGATATATGATACAATCTAAATCATGCACTCACCTACATATAAATTCATATTCTAAAAAATGTATAAAAGACATACAAGAGAACACCTTTTCATACAAAGTGACAGTTTGATATTGGAGAGAGAACAATAATAGGATAAACGGCATTATATAGCTGTTTCGTGTTTCTAATTCTCTTTATTTTCACCTTATAGGCAATTATAAACATTTAAGAATTCATTAGCACACACATACCCTTAGCTAAACACTAAACAAGACATTTCTAATCTCATAACAGACATGACGTTTTATATATTGAGTCTTCTGTTTACAATGCACATCATAACAAGTGTAAGACTGGCTTACGAATCCCAAAATATCAGCTGATTTGTATATGAAGTCATTTTTTTCTTCTTCACAAGACACTCTGCCAAATATAGAAGGCGATCTTGGGAGTTATGAGTCCCGTTAAGAGAGCCGACAGTAGATTCACACTATGGTTATCCAACACTTCTGACCCACTGATAAACTCCACATTAGGCCCAGGTCGCTCCACAATGCATTTCTTTTCTCTGTCAAATCCTTAAAGAGTAAAATATATATTAATTTTCGAAGCGAGATTTTTCACAGACTGGAATTCCTTATACAAGTACAGAAGATAAAAAACTTTAAAACTGAGTTTGATCAAATCACAAGTGCTTTGGAAAACAACATAGTTACAAAAGTTAAACCATTTCCACTTCTGATGCCCATATTTTTATGGCAACGATTTTCAAATATTTATATACATTTACAACAGTACTGGTATATGAAAACCTCAGGAAAAGAATGAGTATTTCTTTTATCATCAATTCAGACATAATATCAACGACAAAATATACTTTACAATATACACTGCAGTATATTTGCTCTCTCAACATATTTGTACGAAAGAATTATTTATAATAACAAGTATAACATGCCTGTTGAATACAAAACATTGTTTACGTTATCTTGGTTCCAACAAGGAAAGAACATTCATAAAAAAATAACATGAGCTAAATGATTTTAATGAATTTCCATCAATACATATTTTAATGACATGATATAATTAACTGTTTAATTTTTCAGTATAAAACCATTAAACTTTGGTTTGTTTTTTAATGTTCCACAAACATGCGATCAAATCCAAGTTTAAAGCACAACAAGGTAATTTGATATTTTTTTATGTACAACCTTCCGTCATCACATGAAATAAACACATATAAATGAACAAACCATTACCTGACGAAAGATATCAATCAATTTCCTCATTAATTACCCTTATATTAAAACTTCATGTGGATAATAGAAAATTTAATCAGAATGCCATTTTAGGTCATATCAACAACAAAGAAATCATTCTTCTACATTATGTATAGGAAGTCATACATGTGTTGTATATATTTACTACGAAATGTTTAGGTAGAAATTCTGGATTACAAAAAAAACCTGCTATATTAGTACTTACAAGTTTTAAAATATTTTCTATCAAACTGAAGTTTATGGAACAAAAATGACAAAATTAAAAAGGTTACACATATCAATGCTGAATTACCATCGAAAGGTAAACATTTGCTTACTTTGTAATGAAATCATGAATTCAATAACACCTAATTTATGTTTCTGTTAAAGTTTGTTTGATTTCTTACTTTAAAATCATAATTGACTCTAACTTAATGCGTGTTGGGTTATTTTTTTAAAAAAACTTATCTACTAAGGCCTAAATAAAGTCAATTAAGATGTTATTGTACATTAGCTATTGTCACGAGAAACACATTTACGTGACAAGAAAATCCTAATTAACCATGTTACGTAAATGTACCGCTGTGCGTCTATCTATTGGGTCAGATGTTATCTTGAAGCTAGTTTATACCCTGTCATACACACGCCATTATCAGTGACAGAATTTGTATAATATATAAGATTACCAACAATGCCCACATATCGACTCTCTTTGATCCCGAAAATTGTCGGCAGAGGAGATTGATTGGGTACCGGGATACAATAATTTAGCATAGATCAATCATGTCATAGAACCATCCATCATTAACTTGCTTCCAAAATAAACAATCGGTACTGCCTCATCTCTCGACATGAACAAATCCCAAGGTTTTACTAAGTGAGATGTATTCAAAAAGTCATCATTTACCTGTCCATATCTAGGACTATACAGTTCAAATTGGAGTAAATTACGCCATACATATACAACACATGATACACGACGACGAGGTTGTCCGTTCCGTTGATAATGGTCTGTAAGGACCCCACCCTTGTCCCTTCATCTGATCGGTACCAGTACGAGCTGGTAGCACCATTACTGCTGTAGACATGGTCAGATTTCTGCTATAATTCTAGACTAAAGGTGTGGTCCATAACCTTTCTCTACTTGACAACATCAATCTAATATCCAAAATGAAATTTAGAAATAAATCTTCAACTGATAGCAATATTTTTTAGATATGAGTTCCACTTTGTCTGTATCAGATATTGAATCAACAGTCACACCCTTCCTTATATAGAACCGTATTGATAGAAATCCAATGACTCTACAGACAAAAATTAATTTGAAATGATAAATACATAATAATATAATCCAAAAATACAAAAGTATAGAAGCAATTGAGGAAATTACACAAATTGTGTCGAGATAAATGGCTAATTATTTTGTCACCATCCAATATCCCCTCGGTAAATACTGACGTAGTCGCTGATGGTGCTTGTCGATTCTGTGGTACGAAATTGTCAATAATGAGGCTCTGTTGATTCAAACCAATTATTGTCAAACAAACGCCTGATGAATTATGAATGAAATTGATAGCATCAATAGGAAACCGTAAAACTTAGCGAGCATCTGAGCGATTTAGATTGTGGTATTTGATTAGCTTTTGCTAATTCAAGACAGGACGTAACCATCTACTATATAATACATAAATATATAAATATACACTCACAAATGAAGTGCCTATAGTTCAATTTTTTCTATACTAGTTTGAGGTCAAAATGATCGTAGGTTGAAATTCCTATGAAGTAATACAAGAGCTGTTTGAAAACAGCATAGTTCATCTATAGAAAAAACAGTTCATATTCATTGTTAATTATGGTGCTGTCACAATTATGAACTGAAAGATACATGTTCACGTTGTATATCAACATGGATAATTTCACGACCCCTGTAAGGTGATTGAAAATGTGTTGAAAAATATATATATATATAAATTAAAACGAAAAAGTGAGAAGCTAGAAAACCTAATGTAAAAATGACATTAAAATGCCTGCAATGCGGCAATATCATCCAAATAGTTGGATTGTAATACCACATCAAATTACTTAGAATAAAGATATTGACTGGAATTTAATGAAAATAAATAAACAATTAAGCAGAACAAATGCCCGCCTACCTAATACGGGGTTACAACTTAAAATATCCATTATAATATTTTTTGAGTGTTATATCGGTCGTAGGTGGGCTCTGTGGTCATCCAGTTGTCCCGCCTTATCAGGTATAAACTTTCACACATCTTACGATAACAAACGCTTGATGAAGCTGGCATCAATAATTAGGCACCATGCGGAATACATTCTTACATAACTGAAGTCTGTAACAGGAACTCTAATCTGACATTTGGTTTAGTTTTCCCTATTGTTTAACGTCTTATCAACAGCTATTATATTTTTGGACGGCCTCCTTATGCATACAAGATAAGCGTATGTATTGAGTGAACATGTTTTCGGGAGTCTGTGATTTATTAGTGTATGCTTCCTGGTGACAATGCGAAACTGACTTTAAAGTGTTACTATACCGAAGTATTCTAAATTCCGAAGGCCTCCACCAGGACACCTTACCCAGTCTTATTATACTGAAAAGAAGCAAACTAGTTGATAGACTATCAACATGCTGAAAGTTAAGCAGGAAGCAGTAACGACTACTATTAGATACTCTGGTATGTCACGGCCATGAGGCAGGATCTAAACCCTTCCTTACAATACTCAAATTACCATTCGGTAAATGCAAAGTATTCTGAATTAGTAATTTAGAAAAGTAGGCTAGTAGGTATCGTTGATTGCAGCAACATCTTCCGCACTCCTATCTAATGTTTGTGATTTGTTCAAAACAGCATGGTGCCGGAATCCGGTATATGCTAACAATATTGACATAAACACATTCATTTGATGGACACTCGCGATACACGATACTCTGATGAAAATTGATACATGAAATCCAATGGCCCTAATTTATCAGCTGATTATTTTGTATGTTCGTTTGTGAACGAGAGAAGTTTCCTAAACACTGTTTTACCGATTTCGAAAATGAATGCAGATGTTACAACAGCGGTAAGCAAAACTCTTGAATAAGAAAAAATAACTTACGAATGACAAGGAAACATTATTTTGAAGCCTATTGACGCATGCTTTATCAAACCTTTTCGTCATATGATTACGTAACGAAATTTCTTCTTTCGCGCAAAAACACCAATTACCTATTTCGCTTGTGTACACTGAAGTCCGTTTCAATTTCCTATATAGTCATAGCTATAGCCAAATTATAGTTTACATTCACTATGATAGTATAATCTGTTTCATAAGAGTAAGTACTCGCAATGCAACACCAAATACCTCATGCAATACACAGTTCTTGCATTAACAGTGCTTTGCTAGTAACACAGAGGTCATGGGTTCAATTCTTGACTAAAGCAGTTAACTGAAAATGTTTTAATTCATAGAACACAAACATCTAGCAAATGCGTACACAATGCTTTGAACATCTGTCATCAAAAAGTTGTCATACGAATTAAAAAGCGTTACTATACTTAATAGATGATAAAATGTATGTATTACAATAAGGTACTAAAAAGATGATAAATCTAGGTAATTTATGAATTCAATAAATGATTAAGTCTAAGTATTACATTTCGATACTAAATAAATGATAAAATTTAGGTATTACATTTAAGTACTTAATAAGTGATAAACTATGGGTATTTGATTTATGTACATAATACATACCATCTTCTTACAATAAAGATCTTCAAAGATTCATCGTGTTAAATTTGCTAGTTTTACATTCAAATCAATTCTTCTACAAATCACTGTCCATGCCTAATGGTCAAATTTCCATAGTGTAACATATTTGATGACACTTTTTCTAGTGTTTTTTTCTATGATCTCTAAGAACTTAAACTTCACTTTACTCGCTTAAAAGCTTTGTAAACGAAAGTATCAATCAACTTTATTTGGAACATCGCGTCAATCTCGCTATAAAACCACAAAGAGCTGAAAGTTACACACAAAAACTAAGGTTAAAATGATTTTATTGTGAGTGATGCCTAGTGCAAAAATCAAGTGTTTCAGGGGAATCAACCAATCATCAGTAGCGGTATACAAGTCATAAAACTACACACTCATTAGACGCATCGTTAAATGTGAGTCATTATACCAGTGATTCTCAACAAGGTCATCCACGCTCGTCTCCCTTTAGCATTTCATGGAAATTTTATGTGAAATATGTCCTCAGATTACCAGGCTCTGATCGACTAAACATAATAACATGTGCCACATATCAACAGATTCTGTCTCTTTCAAATCACCAAGGAGCAGATTTCATGTGAAGAATTAATGACAAGATATCTGCCACTAGAGAGCTTAGAGCATCATTCAATATGAAAGAAATCTGACGTACAGAAATAGTGAATCTTCCATGTTGTAAGTTTGAATTGTTCATGAGGTCATGAATCGTGTGTTTGAAATCAAATTTGCTGGTATCAGGATTTCTAATAACAGTCACCCAAACTCCAAAAATCACTAAGCAAGAGTGTGTTGAAAGACATTGGACATTGCAGCATCACCAAACAGGGATTTGCTAGTTGACATCGGGCTCACGACAACAAAATAAATGTGACCATTACTAAGCAATGGTGTGTTGGTAGACATTGGACACCTGACACAAATTGCAGTACCACCAAACGAATATTTGCTGTTTGACATGGGGTTCATGACAACAAAGTCGATGTGATTCTCAACATCAATAAACAAGGATGTTGTGGTCGACGTGTGACTCCTGAAATCAATCACAGAAACAAATGTGTTGGTATACATGGGGCACCTGACACCAATCGAAGCAACAACAAACGGGGAATTGTTGGCTGACCTGGGATCATGACAACAGAGTCAATGTGACTCAGCACCACTATACTAGGATGTTAGGAAACATGGGGACTCCTGACAACATAGGCAATGCCACTCTCAACACCACTTAACTAGGATGTTTGGAAACATTGAAGTCCTGACAACATAGGCAATGTAACTCTCAACATCACTAAACTAGGATGTTTGGAAACATTGAAGTCCTGACAACATAGGCAATGTCACTCTCAACATCACTAAACTAGGATGTTTGGAAACATTGAAGTCCTGACAATACAGGTAATGGCACTCTCAACATCATTAAACTAGGATGTTTGGAAACATGGAAGTCCTGACAACATAGGCAATGTCACTCTCAACATCACTAAACAAGGATGTCTGGAAACATGGAACTCCTGACAATACAGTTAATGTCACTCTCAACATCACTAAACTAGGATGTCTGGAAACATGGAACTCCTGACAATACAGTTAATGTCACTCTCAACATCATTAAACTAGGATGTTTGGAAACATGGAACTCCTGACAATACAGGTAATGTCACTCTCGACATCACTAAACAAGGATGTCTGGAAACATGGGACTTCTGACAATACAGTTAATGTCACTCTAGACATCACTTAACAAGGATGTTTGGAAACATGGAAGTCCTGACTATACAGTTAATGTCACTCTCAACACCACTTAACAAGGATGTCTGGAAACATGGAAGTCCTGACATGAGGTTAATGGCACTCGCAACATCAATAAACAAGGATGTCTGGAAACATGGAACTCCTGACAATACAGTTAATGTCACTCTCGACATCACTAAACAAGGATGTCTGGAAACATGGGACTTCTGACAATACAGTTAATGTCACTCTAGACATCACTTAACAAGGATGTTTGGAAACATGGAAGTCCTGACTATACAGTTAATGTCACTCTCAACACCACTTAACAAGGATGTCTGGAAACATGGAAGTCCTGACAACATAGGCAATGTCACTCTCAACACCACTTAACAAGGATATGTTGTTAGATATGAGACTCCTGCCAATATCCAATGATAAAGTCTAGGTATTACATTTATGTACTCAATAAATGATAAAGTCTAGGTATTACATTTATGTACTCAATAAATGATAAATAAAGATCTACAGTGTTTTATCATGTTCAGTTTGATAGTTTTACAATCAATTCCTATTACTTCTACAAATCACAGCCTAAGCCTAATGTTTACATTTTCACAGTGCAACGTATTTGTTGACACTTTTTCTAAGTGCTTTTGTTTTTTCTAATTACTGTGTCAATTTAATGACCTCTAAAGCTAGTTTATTCGCCTGAGAAGCTTTGTAAACGAAAGTATCAATCAACTTTATTTGGAACATCGCGTCAATCTCGCTATAAAACCACATAGAGCTGAAAGTAACACACAAAAACGAAGATTAAAATGATTTCATTGTGAGTGATGTCTAGTGCAAAAATCAAGTGTTTCAGGGGAATCAACCAATCATCAGTAGCGGTATACAAGTCATAAAACTACACACTCATTAGACGCATCGTTAAATGTGAGTCATTATACCAGTGATTCTCAACAAGGTCATCCACGCTCGTCTCCCTTTAGCATTTCATAGAAATTTTATGTGAAATATGTCCTCAGATTACCAGGCTCTGATCGACTAAACATAATGACATGTGCCACATATCAACAGATTCTGTCTCTAACAAATCACCAAGGAGCAGCAGATCTGATGTGAAGTCATTTCATTAAGTTGAAATTATTGACAAGATATCTGCGACTAGAGAGCTTAGAGCATCATTCAATATGAAAGAAATCTGACGTACAGAAATAGTGAATCTTCCATGTTGTAAGTTTGAATTGTTCATGAGGTCATGAATCGTGTGGTTGAAAACCAATATGCTGGTATCAGGATTTCGCATGGCAGTCAACTCAAATCCTAGCATCACTAAACAGGGATGTGTTGGTAGACCTAGGACTAAAGAGGGATATGTTAGAAGACATAGGTTTCCTGACACCGCATCCAGAACCACTAAACAGGACTGTGTTTGTAGACACGGGACTCCTGACACAGATTCCATAACTACTTAACTGGATTTGGTGGGAGACATGAGAGTCTTGAAAACAGAATCAAGATGACTCTCAAAATCTCTTGACAAGGGTGGGTTGGTTGGCATGTGACTCTTGCACAAGTGTCAACGTCACTCTCAACATCACTAAACAGGGGTGTGTTGGTAGACAGGTGCCTCCTAACACCGCTCCCAGAAACCAATAAACAAGGATGTGCTTGAAGACATGAGACTCCTGACACCAATCACAGCATCACTAAACTAGGATGTGTTTGAAGACATGAGACTCCTGACACCAATCACAGCATCACTAAACTAGGATGTGTTTGAAGACATGAGACTCCTGACACCAATCACAGCATCACTAAACTAGGATGTGTTTGAAGACATGAGACTCCTAACACCAATCACAGCATCACTAAACAGGGGTGTGTTGGTAGGTATAGGACTCCTTACACCAGTCCTAGAATCACTAAAGAAGGATGTGTTGGCAGACATAGGCCTCCTAACACCGCTCCCAGAACCACTAAACAGGAGTGTTGTGTGTGTTGGTAGACATGGGTCTCTTAACCCCGCTTCAAGAATCACTAAACAAAGGTGTGTTGGTAGATATAGGACTCCTGACACCAGTCCGAGAACCAATAAACAGGGATGTTTTGATAGTCATAAGACTCCTTACACTGATACCAGAACCACTTAACATGGATGTGATGGTAGACAGAGTCTTGAAACAGAGTTGCTCTCAAAATCACTTGGCAAGGATGGGTTGGTTGACATAAAATCCCTCACAACACAGTAAATGTGATTCTAAAACATCATTAAACAAGGGTATGATGGTTGACATGACAAAAACCCGTTGTGATTTAAGAAGGGTGTGTTGGTAAACATGGTACTCCTGGCAACATAGTCAATGTCACTCTCAATATCACTTAACAATGGTGTGTTGGTAGACAGAGGGCTTCTGAGAACAGAGTTAGGATGTAAAAATTGTATAAGGATCCTTGTGTTAACGTCTTACCAAAGAACTGGAATAAGGATCCTTGTGTTAACGTCTTACCTCAGAGCTGGAATAAGGATCCTTGGGTTAAAGTCTTACCTCAGAACTGAAATAAGGATCCTTGGGTTAAAGTCTTACCTCAGAGCTGGAATAAGGATCCTTGGGTTAAAGTCTTACCTCAGAACTGGAATAAGGATCCTTTGGTTAAAGTCTTACCTCAGAACTGGAATAAGGATCCTTTGGTTAAAGTCTTACCTCAGAACTGGAATAAGGATCCTTGGGTTAAAGTCTTACCTCAGAACTGGAATAAGGATCCTTGGGTTAAAGTCTTGCCTCAGAACTGGAATAAGGATCCTTTGGTTAAAGTCTTACCTCAGAACTGGAATAAGGCTCATTGAACCCAAGTCTAACATGAGAACTAGAATAAGGCTCTCTGGATACCAGACCTTACCTAGGAACTGGAATACGACTTCATTGATGGAAGTCTTACCTGAGTACTGGAATAAAGCACCTAGGTACGAGTCAATGGTGGATCCAAGCAGACCAGCTATCGTCCCGGTAGGAATCAGCAACCATTGGGCTGGGCTTTTCTGGAGCTGGTAGTCACTCGTACACATCAATAGGGTCAAATAATAAGCGACGCCCACAAATGTCCCGCCCAGTGCACTGCTTAGTGTTCCAATGAATGTTATTCCTCCATTTGTACCTACAAAACAGATAAAAATATCATTGTTTTCCACCCAACATTGCAAGTCAGACAGAATTACTGCAATATTGCAAATATCATCATTTTTCAACAATGACCTTGAGCCTGATGTGACCAAAATATTTGACAAGCCATCTAAAAGTGATAACACAACAATGCATAGGAAAAGTGTTCAAAAAGTGTGCAAAATTTTGACCTCAAAAAATTAAAAAAAAAAAAAAAAAACTAGCACAAAGATTTTGATAATAGTTAATTTCAAGATGACCTTGACATTGAAGTTAGTTATTATCTAGTAAAAGATCTGAACCAGAACAACAGCTATGGTCTAGACAGAGGACAAGTGAAAACATGAATCAAAGGCTTGTATGTAATCTTGACCTTAAATGTCCAGGAATGAGGAAAAATAGACACTATTACTAAAATTGGTTGCTTTCACTTCATACAAAAGTTTCGTCGCTTTCAGTTCAAATATATTCATGTCTGTGTGTCACCCTGTTGTACAAGTGGCAGATTTGATTATTTGTTCTTATCATATTTGTGACTTTTATTTGTGTTCATACCATTTGTATCATTTCTGTATTTGTGTAACCAATGTTTTTACTTTCATTTTGTGTGGTCTACATGTATGTTATATCTAGTAGGCCCTGAATAGGCATACTGATGTGAAGCAGGTATTATACAGGTTCTGGACAATGACTGACAACTTGATCCGTGACATGGCTGTGCAATTATGTCTTCCTTTTCCCATCTAACCTTTCATTTCTTTCCTTTCTTACTTATGAATTTGGGTTTTAGCTAAACAAGTGTGTCATTGATATAGATCTGGTATTTTTTACTGAAAGAAGTTTACGCCACACACGACATTGCAAACTGTTTATATTTTCACCTGATCAATCTACATGAGATCAATATCTCTTAAGTTATTCTATATTTAAGTTTAGGTCTTGGTCCGCGTCATTTATATCCTATATAACTGTAATGTGTGGCATATTTCTGTAATAAGCTATTTAGTATATTTAGTATTAATTTTGTATGCATACTATAACACAAGTATTTATTGTCAGTAACATGAACATTATTGTGTGTTATGTAACAGTAACAGTGGGTGTGTACCATAGCAAGTTTTATCACGTATTGTAATAAGTTACATGTATTATTTCAGGGACCTCTTCATTTCATCTGGAGCAGTAAATCTAATAGAATGACTTTGCCTAGTTGTTGCTCTTGTTGGGATGGAGATAACTTCAAACACTCTCTAATCTATATTTGTCTCAACAATATATGATATTGACTTTGTCGCTGACTTTGTAACTTTGATTACAGATTTTTTGTATCCAGCTTTTTGCATCAGTTAAGATATCTAAAGTTGTAGATTAAATGCTTTCACCAACACATTCTCAGTCAAAATTTGAACCCAGGACCTTTCCAGTGAGACAGATGTTCTTTAAGACATTACCCACCTGGTGGAAAGCCCTGGCCCAGCACACTAACCTGCAGAGCCTACATGGTCTGGTACAAGCACCCCATGTTCTGCATGTAGCATGTACTTTTAAGCAGACAACTATGTCAGTCGGGAAATTTTGTGTTTAACAGGTCATTAATCAAACCAGTACATTTGTTAGTGAAACACCTGTATATCTATCACCACCTGTAACTCAGGGCTCAAGGCCAGCCACACACCAGTGTAGTATTACCCTGTCTGTAAACTACCAATGATACTAACAGATGTATACCTGTTAAGCGTACAGTCACAAGGTAACCAGTAACAGGATAAATCATTCAAACAAACAAGAGGCAAAATAGACCTCTCTCACCTGTTCTTTTTTATTTTCTGTATGTTACTGAATATTCAGAAATCTTTAAGTGAACTTGAAAGTGTGTTGAAATTATTTCAAATTCATCCAAGAATAATACTGGCAAAATATCATTTCCCAGCAGAAACTTTCAGTTCATATGAAATTATAGTCAGTTTTGAAAAATTTGGTGCCACTGTCCATGAAAAAAATGATTTTGTCAAGATTGTTTCCTATTTGTGTATTTGTCAGATTTCATCCTTGGAAGCAAAATGCCAAATAGAATAATCCATCCAAAGCCTTATGATTTTTAATATGCATTTATTTAAAAAAAAAATGACTGATGAAAGAACTGTTATGTCACCTGCATGCAGCTAATTCTTCAGTGTCATACTTATATGACATTAATATAGGCCTTGTACTGCAGAAAATTTTTCGAAAGTTTTTAAGCACTAAAAGAATTGACTACATGATTTAGGAAGCTGATTTAGTGGGTATAAACTTGGAAGATCATGGCTACCTCACTGAACAACATAAGAGAGGCCCATCACATTCCATCCAGAACAAATGGGGAGAAGTGTGTAATCGATGGAGGACCACATTAACTATTAGCATGAGATGGGATGATCTGCTTTCTGAAAAACATAAACCACTCAGAGAAGAGATCTCCTCGCCATACAGTTTGGATCTTCACCTACAGCTGAAGAACTCTACCAACTGAGCTAAATCAACTCCTTGGTTCCAAGGAATCCCAAAATCATGTTTTTTTTTTATTAATCTTTTCTTGTGTTTGTTCATTTCTTGAATTTTTAAAATGAAAACACATTTGTTTTTAAACAAAGACAATTTCTCAAGGGTCATCAACACGATAAGAAAAAGGTCTCCAATGTGGAAATTGTTTTATTTCTTGCACAGCTTAAGGCTGGATGTATTTGATGCTCATTAGTATGCCTGATGGTTCCGTTGTATATACTGTTCTCATTTGGACATTTCTTGGATTGTTTAAGGTTTACATGGTGGGTGTCATCAATGAAGCAGCTGTAGATACACAACACAAACAAGTAATCAGGTGAGACAGGTAACCAGTACATCACCAGGTATGGTACACTAGGTACACAACACAGACAAGTAATCAAGTTAGAAAGGTAACCAGAACTTCACTAGGTGTGGTACACTAGGTACACAACACAGACAAGTAATCAAGTGAGACAGGTAACCAGCACTTCACCAGGTGTGGTACACTAGGTACACAACACAGACAAGTAATCAAGTGAGACAGGTAACCAGCACTTCACCAGGTGTGGTACACTAGGTACACAACACAGACAAGTAATCAAGTGAGACAGGTAACCAGTACATCACCAGGTGTGGTACACTTGGTACACAACACAGACAAGTAATCAAGTTAGACAGGTAACCAGTATTTCACCAGGTGTGGAACACTAGGTACACAACACAGACAAGTATTCAAGTGAGACAGGTAACACGTACTTCACCAGGTGTGGTACACTAGGTACACAACACAGACAAGTAATCAAGTGAGACAGGTAACCTACTTCACCAGGTGTGGCACACTAGGTACACAACACAGGCAAGTATTCAAGTGAGACAGGTAACAAGTACATCACCAGGTGTGGTACACTAGGTACACAACACAGACAAGTAATCAAGTGAGACAGGTAACCAGTACTTCACCAGGTGTGGTACACTTGGTACACAACACAGACAAGTAATCAAGTGAGACAGGTAACCAGTACTTCACCAGGTGTGGTACACTAGGTACACAACACAGACAAGTAATCAAGTGAGACAGGTAACCTACTTCACCAGGTGTGGCACACTAGGTACACAACACAGGCAAGTATTCAAGTGAGACAGGTAACAAGTACATCACCAGGTGTGGTACACTAGGTACACAACACAGACAAGTAATCAAGTGAGACAGGTAACCAGAACTTCACTAGGTGTGGTACACTAGGTACACAACACAGACAAGTAATCAAGTGAGACAGGTAACCAGTACATTACCAGGTGTGGTACACTAGGTACACAACACAAACAAGTATTCAAGTGAGACAGGTAACAACTACTTCACCAGGTGTGGTACAAAAGGTACACAACACAGACAAGTAATCAAGTGAGACAGGTAACCAGTACTTCACCAGGTGTAGCACACTAGGTACACAACACAGACAAGAGATTGTTGACTTCTATCTCAACAGGACCTTAACACTTAGGTCTAAAGTGAAATTGTACATTGTGTAAATGTATCTTGTTCACTTTCTAACATTTGAAAAACCTGAAAAAAGGGTTTTATAAACTACACAGGTATTTGATAATTCCAAAATTAACATGAAATGATCACTTAAAATTCTTGCTATTTTGTTTGGTTTGTGTACTGTACAGTAGTACAGTGTATATATCAATCTCGCATAGTTGTATGATAATGTATTATGCATTTTGTACAAATTGAAGTGCAAATCAAATAATAATGCATAAAAACATCATCATGTAAACATTCACACTATGTTTGATTTCATGAGTGTCTTTCCAAAGATATTAACTTCACATGATGTCTCTCCAAAGGATGTATTTTGTGGTTATGCAATATACTGACCATTTCATTGTCAACAAAATGAAGTTCACATTTGTGAACGGAAAATATTTCCCACTTTTTACATTTGCAAAAGCCTTTTTTTCCCTATTCCCATTATGAATTTTATCCTACATTTACCCCAGGCAACTTTACTGCATTAAGAAGACTGACCAAGACATAATTCAGTCTTACATTGCAAACATCTTGGTGATAGATACTTGGCATTTCAATGAAATGCTATGAAACTTTCAGTTGTATACAAAAGACAGGCACTTCTATCAGGTTTATAGGAAAGACTGCCTGCAGTAAATTTTTAAGAAGTTTTTGTCAACAGAATTAACATAGATATTGGTTTGGTTCTGTTAAACCACACAGATATTCAACTGAGATTATGATTTCAAAGCATGACTGAAAACATTTTGACAATGACAAGTTTCCCAGAGTTCACTCCCTTTAATAACTTTTCTTAGTTCACCAGGTGTGCCAGAGTTCACTCCCTTGAGGCAAAAGAATACTACTGGTAAGAAATATTATACAATATACTGATTGGTGGAAAAAGATTTGTGGAAAGCTTACACTATACTGATTGGTGGAAAAAGATTTGTGGAATGCATACAATATACTGATTGGTGGAAGAAGATTTGTGGAATGCATACAGGACATGTGTAGGCATTTTATCAAACGTGTAAGTATATATTTCAGAAATATCAGTTTCACTAAAACATTTACACTTTTAACATTAGTATTACTTACATGTAACACCTAAACCTTCCTTATTTGAAATCAAAATCCCTCAAAATTATCACTAATGTCCCTTATATGGCATGCACGAAATGATATGCTATGATATTTATAGGATTTGAGAAGCGTTTTATAAACGATTACTAAAAATGATCCTTGGGTAGAAAAAAATGAAAATCAATTTTTTGTAAATAGTAAAAAGTAGAAATGTTGAGAAAAGAAATTATCTGCAGTATTAGATGGGAGAGGCAATAACAGACATTATTATTGAATTCTGTCCTATATTCAAATATCTGCATTCTTTAAAACAATTTCTTTATTCACTTTAATTCTTGTTCCTTGTTCAAACCATTGCCCAAGAATCTATAACTTCTTTTACTGTTAATACATTTACCAATGTCCACTCTGGTCAGTTTTGTATTTCATAGTTTGAACTTAAAGCATCATTTCATTGAAAAATCAATTTTTGTAGATACCACTCTTTCACGTGAAATACTTTTTTGCAGAACAATAAAAAAAATCAAAATAAAACAACTGAAAATTTCTTCAAAATGCATTTGAATTTTATATATATTAAATATTTACCTTTCGGGACTATGCGAAGTGAGGTTATCAGCCTTGGAGCAGTATTAATACTGAAAACGGTTCCAATCTCTGAGGCAAAGGTGTCGCCACAGCTGCAGGCAAGGGCCCCGAGGACTGCCATCGAGAAGAGAGAGGAGTTGTACCAGGCCTTAAAGTCTACAACTCTCTCCACACAGCCACTGTCTAACATGTAAAGAATTGCAAACTGGGCCGCGATACCACCATTACATAGCACCTGTATCCAATTCCTTTGCCCACCTGTTTAAACATGGAATAAAAAAAACTGATTCGCAAGATAAAAAAAAAAAAAAAAGAAAAAAACAAACAACTATGTAAACATAATTTGCATATTTTTTTTTCTGTTGGATATAAAATGTTCACAATACTTTATATATCTGATAATAAACTCATGTCTTGTAAAAAGTCCAACCATACCTATCGCTTATGTTGAGAGTAGGTATAGCAAATACAAGGACTTTAAACAAAGTATCATTTAAAAGGAAATAACTCTTGCTGAGAACTTCAACATAATAGCGAGAACTAGTGTGTATATTATGGGTGACAGGTTGAAAGTTATATTTACTATCATATTTGAATAAAATGAACTAAAAGCAAAGTGACAGACTGATGCTTTAGACTGACAGGTGCCAGTACTTGGGTTTTATAGCACAGTGGTCCCCAAATCATAATTGTATGTTTAATTACTCTCTTAATTGAAACAAAAAATAAACTTTTATAAAAAGTTATACATTACCTTCTTTGAAATCTTCCTCAAATCTTTTCTTAGTCGCTGATTTGTATTTTGTGGCTCTTGATGCGAGTATGAAAAAAGTCAGTAAACAGGCGAAGAAGCAGAGGCTGCTGATGGTGAGGACGAAGCCAACCAATAGTCCTGAAAAATAAAAAAACAAATACTGTACTGAAAGGCACTCATTAGCATAATAAACAACGAAGATCATCATAGATGGATGGATGTAAAAAGACACCCGATCCTTAAAATTGCACCAGAACATTTTTACTAAAAATTGGACCTGTTAGTAAAACTACTTCAACACACTAAGATTATAGAAGAAAAGAATTGCCATGCAAAAAAATTAATAATCAAAAGAAAGCACAAATTGTTTTTAAACTTTTAAAAAGGACTGTGAAGACATTTACCCAACAACTTTCACTCAAAAATTTTGCTCCTCAAGAAAAGATAATTAGGCATCATTTTCTCTATTTATTTATCTATTTATATTTATATATTCATATAATTATATATATTTATTTATTTATTCATTCATTTGTTAGAAGTTGTTAAATATCACATCAATTTATATTTATCATTCCTGTTGGCTTGGACAAATGCATTAAAGAGCTCTTAACAGAAGAAAAATCAGTATACTTGGGGGAAAACCCACATCCTCAGACAGGGGATCATGCCGGCAACTTTTCAAACTGGATCAGGAAATCAAACCCCATTCATCTGTAACATACCACCTAACCATTCTCTTTTGGAAACCATGGAGTAAGGAACAAATCTGACAGCCTGATAATCTAACCTGCAATGGCTCCTGACTTGTCCAAACTTCGTTTCTTCAAACCCCATCTGGTTATTATCACAGGGGCAATAACAGCCACCAACCAGCGCCAAGGATTGATGCAGTAGCTACCTGTCAATTACAAAACATCAATTTTTATCTTACCTGATATCTTTGAGGTAGTTTTATTACATTTCCGAAACATTCAAAATTCTTTATGGTGTGGTAATAAGTCAATGACAGTCTGTGTAAACACAGAATAGTACAATCAACTGTGCATTAAAGATACCAAGGAAACAGATTAACATAAGTATGTATACAGCTGTACCTTTTTTCCGAATCCTCCTTGTTATTTGTAGGATGTTACTGTATAATTGAATTAGATATTGTTCACAACAATATGACATCGTTAATTTCTGTTAAACATTTAAATACAACGTACATATTCAACATACATCGCCACATGTAATGGATATTATTTCTTTGCCTGATCATTAAATATCTAGCAAAGAGTAAGCCTTCAGCTCAAACCTTTTGCTTCAAAACTCAGACTCTAACTCCCCTTTTTCAATGATACATTTTCCCATTTTTTTCATTACACGGTACGTTCATTTATTCTTTAAATCTTTGTGATATGGATTATCTTCTGAACAATAACAAATATATATGTTTATATTTAAAGTCTTTCTTGGGCGATTGGTGCATTATACATTTTTTTATTCTTGAATTTTTTACAATACTATTCCCCGTGGTCATCTCTCATGCTGGTGTGTTTCCATATTTATTGTATATGTCACAGGGTAAATTGGAGTAAGTGTCTGTAACATCCTGTTTAATCTGTATTCGTTACTGTCCGTGCATTTATGTGTATGTCCTTATTGGGTGTTACCTGTTAGGTAGTGTCAGTGTCTGTCCTTATATGGTGTTGTCTTGAGGCGTGTACATGTCCAGGTGTGACAGGTGAGGAAGTCGTGAGAGAGTGAGTGTGTAGGGTAATAAAACTAGGGATACCCCTGGTTGCTGGGCAGAATCACAGACTAACCACGTCGCTCTGGACGTCCTCGGGAGTCCAGGCGGCACATATAGCTACAGTTAAGTGATTGTCACAACCCGACTGTCGGTGTAGTGATGTGATTGAAATCCGAGATCAGGGGTATTAATAAAAAAAACGTTCAACACACAACGAATTTGAGTTGATGGTGTGACATATATATGGATACACAAGTTCGAAGGAAAAGGGCATACACAATGAACATGTGTTGTGCCTGATTGAAATTGTTGCATATAATAATTTTCATGTATATAAGTGAAAAGTAAATACCTGTATGTCATGAGCATGAGAGTGAAATACATTTTCACTTGTATATATACAATGCATATGTGAGTGATATACATGAACATGTGGTGAATTGACATAAAGTAACTTTAAGAAATCTTCAATTTATATGTTTTTTTTAACAAAATGCAGACACTGGTTCACAAAATCTATCTGGTTTTTAATCACAGATACTAGCCTCATATGCCAATACATTCGTTATAACTTATTTAGCGTACTGAAAGACGGGGTTCATACTCTGCTTGTTTCATTTTAGCTGCACATTACACAGGATGTATCTGACCGTGTGACCGTTATCAATACGACCACCAACTGACAGTCCGTTCTCTGTTGATTGCTTAATATTACCTTCATTAAATATCGTGTAGACCAAGCTGACGAGCCAGCAGACAATGCTAACTGGCATAGCAAACGCCAACAGCATAACCAGCCACATCTTGAGTGGATGACGCTTGCACGGGGAAATGGGAATACCGGAAATAAAGGGAAATCTTTGACCCCAATAATGCGTCACATCGTATACTATTTAAAGATGCTCTTCCATCATTTCTCGATCGTCCGTTAAAAAATCGAAAGGTCGGAATAGTGGACGTAAAACCCGTTCGAAATAAAATAAATAAACATTTCCGCTACTAGTGGATGTAAAAAATTGTTATATATATAATAAATAAAGTCAATTTCGTGTTGATAAACTACAATGCAGCATGAATCAGCTCGATCATGTTCTTGAGATTCATCACATTGACTACAGTATATTTTTCGTAAATGACATTTTCGCAACAGTATCAAACAGATGAGGTGGCGTTAACTAGAACCGGTGCTGACTGGGACTGACGCTAACTGTAACCGTCGTCACTTTACTTGTTACGTATCCTAAAAAAAACTACACGTCGTCTATTGAGACGGTCTTGGCCATTGGAAGATCAGAATTCTTATAAACTTTCGGGGTATGTCATTGTATTAAGTCTTTGATTAACTGAATTAATTATAAGACAGAAATCGAGTGCTTTCACCTGTTGTTTGTCCTAATAAACACACCCTTTACGGAGACAGTCCCAGTCAGCGCCAGCCAAGATCAGGAAATCAAACGTCTTTTATCTTATGGTTTTCTATCTTATATAAAAAAAAATACAAAACAAAACAAAAAAGGAAATGTTACGGTGCATATTTTTATGACATTTCATGATATTTAAACGAAAAATATGTGAATTTAGTTTGTGATCAACTGAAATATATTTTGAAGTAGATATTAAGTGGACTATTTTGTTAGATGTACTAAAAATGACCCTTGTCAAGGGTAATCAATATAAGGAGAAGTTACGCAGACTTTTCTTTGTGATGAAAAACAGAAACAAGTCACGATATTTTAGACTCTAACAGACTTCAATTAATTTTGAAATAGATATCAGGCGATTCGTTCTGATACATATCTTAAAACACGCCGGTCTATTTATTTGTTTTTAGTTAATCCAATTCAATATATTAGAAAAAGAAAACAAAACTCTGTAAGGAAAGAGATGTTTGACCCCTGACAGTCTTACAATGTTTAGTTCACTGTTTAGGGGTTTTTATTTGTATCAGTTCACTACAGGATTAGAGATGAACTTAAACGCCCAGATGACCTCGAACAATAATATAAAAAAAACCCAACGTAATCAGGTTACTTCTATAGTCTGCAGAGCAATACATGTATCTGACTTTTACAAAACTTCAATCCCAATTAATTTAAACATGGGCTGTCAGAGACGGGTTATGTTCACGAAAGGACGGACGGACAAAGCGGCGACTATATGCTCTCCCTTCGGGGAGCATAATTACCCTAAAAATTCTATGGAAGCTTTTACGTGAAGTAAGTCAAAAAGAAACTTTACAGCTCCAAATATTTTGAACTGTGGATAAAAAAATGAAATAATCAATCAGTTTAACAAATATTTTACTGAGATTGCTGGCAAACTTACAGCTGGATAATGTTTCAGCTTCATTTCAGAAACTGAAAGATCATGTTTATGATAGAACAAAGGATGGTACCTTTTTCATTATTCCAGATGTATCGATTGATATTACAACTACCTTTTTTGAAAATCCTAGATGGGCTTAAAGCTTCAAGTGTGGCTGGTATTAGTACTAAGCTGTTGAAAAGTGTTATTCTGAAAAAGCTCCATCTCTTGCCACACTTGTAGCTTTAAGCCCATCTAGGATTTTCTACAATAAGATATTTGAAGATCGAAATCCATTACTTTGAAAATAGAGGAAAATTATGTGCCTATGTAATGAATGTTAGAAAACTGCTAAAGTGACCTCCCACTCTGCCCCCACTTGATATTTGCAAATTACAATCTGTTTTAAACAATGGTCATACATGGTGTGTTGAGTTTTGTAAAAAAAAGAAAATAAATTATATATAATTTATTGACGTGTTTGGAAATGACAAATTAATTGGTAAACAGCTTGTCACCATAAGATCATCTTGTATCACCTTCTGATAATTTTCCTCTATTTTCAGAGTAATGGATTTCGATCTTCAAACATTTTATTGTACATTGCAGGTTACTTTTTTACATGAAAGGTATTATACCAAGCTCTAGAATAGTTTAACGAAACCCTGCCAATGTAAATGTAAAATGGATTGATGATAGAAAACCTAGGGTTATAGATCTGGTTCAGAGTGACAGTGAATTTCTTCATTCGGAAAAATGTTCATTAATAAATTACCTAATAATAAACCTAGAGGCTATTATTATTTGATGTTGTATTAGATACAGGAATTGTTCCAGAACAATGGAAATTGGATGTAATTAAACCTATGTATAAAAACAAAGGTGACTCTAAATATCCTGATAATCAAAGGGCGATAACTCTTATGTCTTGTCGTGGTAATGTTTTACCTCTATCTTCAACATATGACTTACAGCATTATCTGATGAAATACAAATTATAAGCGATGCTGAAACAGGCTTCAGGAAAGGTTTCTTTAAAACAGAGAATATCTTTATACTCTATTATTTAATATCTATACTTTGCTATAAGCAAAACATCGTGCTGCACATTTGTCGATTTACGAAAAGGTTTTGATACAGTATGGAAATGTGGATTATGCAGAAAGTTGCTTAAAAGTAATATTTCAGGGGAAAATATTAATGTTATATCAGAGACGTATAATACATTTTTCCCCTGAAATGTATGTATTATACGTCCCTGGTTATATTAATATGTATTCAAAGGCAAAATCTTGTGTCGTAAATGGTTAAAAAATGTCTTATCCTTTTGTGTTTAATGTCGGTGTAAAACAAGGGGAAAATATGTCCACCTTTTGTGTTTGAAATCTTCTTGAATGATTAGGAGGATTTCTTTGACCAAAACGAAGTAAAGTGTCTTGGTGAAATTTCTGCGAGACTAACATTCACATTTTTCTTAAACTATTCATTTTACTTGAAGAAGACAATAGAGCGATCATATCAAAGACCAGCAACAGTCTATAGTCTGCTTTCAATATTTCTGAAGAGAACTGTATGTCATGGAAACTTGAGGTTAACTTGAAAAAATAAAAGTTGTATTTTTTGTATAAAGGAAAATGCCAAGGTTTACTTTTATCAACATTGTGTTGGAAATAAGTGACCCCGACTCATTTGTCTTGGAATAATTATGAACTATAATGGTAACTTTTCTAAGTAATAAAAAGTAACAAAACAGGCTCAAAAAGCACTTTTTGCTCTTTATTAGAAAATTAGACATACATTGTATATATATATCTCCTAGATGACTTACAGTTAAAGCTCTCTGATACTCTAGTTACCCAAATATTGTTATACTCTGTTGAAGTATTGGGATTTGAACATTTAGATATTAGTGACAAAATACAGCTTAATGTTTTTAGCGATATATAAAAGTACAGCTTTTACTTACAAGTGAGCTTGGGAGATCTTCAGTTGAAAATGAAGTTGAAATTAGAACTAGTATGTTTTGGTATACGTTAGCTACTGGTGGTAACTAGTTATCTTGTAAAGTGTATAGATTATGATATAAGATAGAGGATTATGTGAAATCTATTTTTAATAATTTCCGGAAAATATAAGATGTAAGATTTCCTGATCTTGGCTGGTGCTGATTGGGACCGTCTTCGTACATGGTGTGTTTATTGGGATATACGACAAGAGAAAGCGCTCGATATTTAGTTCATAAGTAATTTCAGTTGCTTACGGACTCAGTAATCTTGTTTTTGTTTTAAATACGATGTAATTGCCGGAAATCATAATACGTTAGATTCCCTGATCTTGTCTGGCGCTGACTGGAACCGTCTCGGTAGGGTGTGTGTTTATTAGGTGTCCAACAAAGGAAAACTAGCACCGCCCACTATTTGATAACGATTGGAGGAGTCGAAGGCAACACGCCCACCACCTTGCGGCGAAATAAGTCAGTTTGCAAATAGGTCTTTCTTTCATCCAAACATGAAACTAAAATGATCCTATCAAAACCAAATCTTGTAGTTATTGTCAATAATTGCCTACATAAGAAAAACAATATCAGCCGTTTACAATATCTTCCTTACGAAAACCCTGTCCGCAATATTGCGGCATTAGCCAAGGGTTGTGTTGTAAACCAAGCTTGTAGAAAATTCCAAAAGCGCACTTACATAGAATGATTCAGAAACCGTTTTATTTAAGCATATTTTTTTATGAAAAGTTTACTTACTTTTTACAGTGTCTGATCGTCGGACAAAGATCAATTTAATATGCCTACGTTTTGTAATGCAATCAACACTGAACTGTTTTTTTTGTTGCGCACTCACACAGTTTTCGAGGTTGCGCAAACATACTACATGTAATTTTGAGACACGGGAGAGGCCCCAAGGGCTTATCCAACCCAATAATATATTTGTATTGGAACTTAACACGGAGGTTTGCGGGTATACAAATGGCTCCAGGTGTATGTGACGTGAGCGCATGTTTTGAAATAATGTGTTTTTTTGGAGGGGAGGCTGAGATGTGTTTGTGTAAGCGTCTTTGTGATAGTGCGGAACTAAATTTGGTTTCATACTGTAGTGCTCCATCCAACGAAAGTATAAATTGACAACGCGGTCAACCCGACAACACTAAATGACAACGGACAAACCTGTAGCTTCTCTACAAAAATGCTATTCGTTAATTGATAAGTAAAAAACAAAGACTTTGAAAGACTCTGGTATGTAAGAGGACATTATAACACGATGCCTTCCTCACATCGGCCAACGCTACAAAAAGACTAACACCGAGACCGTGTAAAGTGAGACATTGGTGAGAAGAAAAGGGGGGAAATATTAGGTCCCAAGTTAAATTGCGTCTTACGACCATACAATGCGGACGACAGGTACAATTCTTACGATGTTAACTGCAATAATTTGTATGTTTATTTGAATATCAAATGGCGAAAACAAAATGATCCAGAATAATTTCCATTAAC